TCACGACACCGGATCTCTAAGCACGCATTCGGATTGACGCAGAGGGAGAGAGAGAGAGAGTAAGGCGAGTTCCATTTGATCTTTGTATGGAGTCAGCGTTCGTCTCGACGGACGTGAGCGTGGGCCATTGCCCGTGCTCAACCTTCACGTTGGTCCACCGCAGCGTGCTACCATCCTTCCCAATTGCAGACAAAGATAGCGTGTACTGCGATGGGGACGTACGAAGCACTCTGCAACGAACCGCGCAGATTTGTCTGTATAACCCCGCTAGGGCCTGTCACATAGGAGGGAGTGGGTTTGTGTTTATTGACCGGTTCTCCTCCCCTCCCCTGATCCTGCCCTACACTGATCTGACACTGTTACCCTAGTCGGCCGGGTAGCACATCGCTTGCAGTCCCCTCGGCCGAGAGCAAGTTTTTGAAAACCAGGCAGAACCGGTCGTCTCGAAATAACCTCTTTCCTTCCCTGGTCTCTCTCTTTTGCCATTGACGACGGCCCAAAATCAAGGAACGCATCGACACGAAAAAAGAATCCCCCGTTCCGCCTGGGCGATTCAACCCCACCGGCCAAAAATCCTCGGTCACACCCCCAATTACTTTGATCGGCGTTCGCGGGTACGGGACGACGCGCAGGGTGTGAGGTTTGCGCATCACAGGCTAGCTGTGATGAAGCGTTCTGGTGGTGTTGGGGGAACGAGCTGGGTAGTCTGATTGTTAGGGACGATGACCAGAGGGTCTGCTGCCAAGGGTATGAAGAAGGCATGAGCCAGACGCCGCTGCCAGTTGAATTCTTCTTTCATCCACTGACCCCAGACCAATTTGTTATCGGTGTCCAAGTTTTCCAGTTTTCTTCCTGGGTCCAGCCTGCTCTTGTTGTCGAGTGAGGTCTGTTGTGGATTTCAGTTTTTTAGCTTTGTCTTTTAGACCTATCCAGGTTCAATGAATGCTAGTTCTTAGTGTTTTGTCAATTTGTTGTTTTGCTTGCATGTATCCAAAGTTGTGTTCTTGTCTCTGGTGGGAGCATCTTGCCCCCCAGATTGTGATCAGAATTTCCAGTCTTGTGTATTTTAATAGAGGTAGTTCAAAGATGTCCCACGATGATGGTAGTTTTGTTTGTTGCCCCAATAAGAGTAGGGACAGCTCCCATCCCGTGGCAGATCTTTGCTGGTGAGAGAACGCCATGCCGCATCCCACCACTCCAAATCTCGAGTGCCAAATTGGTAATGATTAACTCATGAGTAGACTCCTGGCTGGCTAACGAGTTAATTAGACTTGCTCGTCAATATGGGTGGGGCACAGCGCGGCCGGGAGCGCTGCGCCCCGTCCGGTATAGGAATCGCGGGAGCACGACACAGCACGACGTGGCGAGGCGAGCGCGAAGCGAAGCGTGAACAGAGCGGCGCGAAGTAGCATGATGGGCGTAAAACAACGATGGCGTGCGTTGGAGATTTCGTGGAGGCAAGATAAGAGGGGGACGGGCGATGGCAGGTCGTCGGTTGCAGAGGAGTGGAATGGGGATTGTGCTGAGGAGAAGGTGGGTGGGGCGAGCGGGGGCTCGACGGTGGGGGATTTCCTATACTTGCCCTTTTTACTTCGTCTCTCCTTCTTCTTGATTTAGCGGCCTCCGGATCGTTGGGCAGGGACTGAACTCTCTGTGAGGTGGCGTCAATAGGTTTGACGTGGTTACTCACAACGCAATTGCATATGGCCAGTGATAAGGAGGTGATTATGTCCTACCAAATCTCTTTTGGTCAGTGCAGCTTGCCAAGGGGCTATATTAGCACGAGCTATGGGGAGGCGAACGTGTTCCTCCCGCAGGAAGAGGCAGGGGCTGAGTTTGGACTCTACAGCGGTGGGGCAGTTGGATCAAGGGACTCCGGGAGTGGAGCGCTACGTGATGGATTGCACGAACTGAGACTTCAGGTGTTTTAAGGCGACTTCACTCAGCGACGGAATCTCCAGTAATTCTTGAGGCATGACCTTTTTTTTTTTCTTTTTTTTTTTTTAAATGAGACGACGTGGGGAGCAACACGGCTGGGAACCGGGCCCAACGTCCTATTTTGTTGAGCTTGGGGTTTAGGTCTTGTTTTTCTTTCCCTGATATGGGAATTTCTTAAAAAAAATCTTGAATGGTAATTCTGATTTCTTAGTTGATCTGAATCGGTAGTTCGTAATTTTTCTTGTTGATTTTGCGATCTGGTTTTAGAATCATTATGGTTTCTCTCATACACGATTGATTGTCGATTTGTTTTTCTGCTTAGTATTTCCTGATTTACTGTCTGAGCGATTCCTTGAACCTTGGGGTTCTGGAAATCAGAAACGTAAGTCCGTTCGAACATCAGAATCGATTCCCTATTTTGTTTCCCTATTTGGATTTTTAAATCTTATGAAATCTTACCTTCAATCTTATCTTCATCTCGATGGATTTCCTGAATTCGATGCTAAATGTATGATTCAAACTTTGTTTGCATGACTCGTAAAAAATTTTAAAATCGGTTTCCCAAATTTTGAAATTCGTATTCTGATTTTGTAGATGGAAATCCGGGATTCTTCTTTAAAATTGAATTTCTTACTTGACGTGGGATTTTTCAAACAATTTTTACTCAAGTAATTAGTCTTAGTTTGTTGTTTTTAGCAAGGGAGTCTCAACATGTGATGTTGTGAGATCGGGGTCAGAAGTGTTGGAATGGATATCTCCTTTAGGGTTGGAGTCCCTCCCTGCGAGGGTTACACAAGGTGGGTGATGTGATCTTTGAGAGGGTAGGGGCGGTATTGAGGGTTTGTCCTTTTTTGGGCCACGCTGATTTTCGGATCGGATCAGCTATGGCGGTTGGGGAGAGAGTATAAGGGGTGTTGATGTCAGCAGGGTGAGAGTTGAGAGGGCTGTTCCGCTTGGAGGGGGTGGGGCAGGAAGGAAGGGGGATCTTTTGCTCTGCAGGGGCATACTTTCGGGGGTACTATATGTGACTGAGGGAGCAAGAGGGGTATTTTGGGGGCTGTTTTGAACTGGGGCGGGGAGGCGAGGGGCGCCTTCCTGTGGAGGCAGTAAACAAACAGGGGGTTGTCTTTTGGGGGAGAGGAGTAATCCTTTTGGCCCTTGTGACCCCTTTACATGTAACCGAGACCTCAATAGGCGCTGGAGTTTCCATGGGGAGAGAGGGTTGTTTTTCCCTCTCTTCCCCTCTCCCTGTGGGAATAGTGGGCGCTGGAATGTTCATTGATTTTTCGGGATTTTTTGTGCCTGATTTTCCTAATTTTCTTAATTGAAAAATTCTTCCAAGGCTTGGTGCTGGAGGCAGGGGGTTGTGGTGGTTCTGACAGCGGGAGACGACGCGCTCTGCGGTGAAGGGGCTAGCCTGCTGGGTTGTAATAGGGTACAGCAGCGGTGGAGATGGTGGCTTCATCGTGGTAAGACTTGCCGGAGTTGGGTTCATGAGATTTGTTGGGGGGATATCTGCAACCAGTGCATGAAGGAGACGAATAATGAGATCTACAACTATGGTGCTGATTGGTGGCTTAACTGCTATTTGCCTTAGTCCTGAGTCCGGGTGGTTTGCGAAAAGACGAGGCCAGAATGACGCTGGTCGGTGCTGGGGTTTGGTCGTGCTGCCTGTAACTCGAGCTGTACGAGGGCATGAGACCTGGTAGAGAGATCTGGGGAGTTGTGGAGGGTGGAAGGCACTCTAGTGTCTTTTGGTGAGCTGGTGCCTAGTCGATGCTGGCCGGAGCGGGGGCAGGTCGCTTTGCCCTGTGGCCTAGCAGGTGGGGGTTATTCTGGGGTGGGTCGTGCCACTTTGTAACCTAGCAGTTGGGGGCATGAGGCCTGGTAGAGATTGGGCATCGGGATATAGGGGTGAGGCAGGCAAGGGTTGGGCTGCTGAAAGGCCCTAAGGCAGGTGTTTTTTTCGTTCTGAATGCTTCTTTGATTCGAGCTTTGGGGGACAGAGAATTTCAGTGTTCTTGTAAAAAAAAAAAGCGCCGAAGCCGGGTAATAGCCCCGGTATCTCAAGGATATCTTCAAAAAAAGGTTTGTTTACAGGTGGTTCTGAGAATGCTTTAGGATTCTGGGGACTTCTAGCAACTCGCTTTAGGTTGTTTCATACTGGTACATTCATGGATCTGCGGTTGTTCCATGCCAGAACGACGCTGGCTGGTGCTGGGGTGTCGCCCTGTAACCTGCTGACTGTAGGAGCGTGAGGCCTGGTAGAGAGATCTGGGGATGCTTTGTGGTGGGCATTCCAAGGGACAACCAAGGGTTGCTGTTGGGACGATGCTGGCCGGAGCTGGGGCGAGTTGTGTTGCTCTGTAACCTAGCCGGGTGGGAGTGTGAGGCTTGGGAGAGCTCGACAGGGAATAAGGCAGTGTTGGATAGTTTTAGAGAGTTTTGTTTGGGAGTCTAGGGGTTCTGAGCATTCGAAAAGAGGTCAGTAGTCATTCATAGTTTTTCAACCTCTCTTTAATTCTCTTGAATTTCTTGAATTTCTTCAATAGTTCTCAATAGTTCTCAGATTGATTCTCAGTCGAAGCCGGGTAATGGCCCCGGTATCTCAAATGACTTGTGTAACTCTATATGGGACGCTGGGCCCKGTTCCCAGCACGTGCTGCTCCCCACGAAWARACTGGRGSKTTTKCCYMCCCCCCCCCCCCCCCSSCCMCCCYCCMGTGCCAGGCAGGTAGGGTAAAGGGAGGGGAAGGGAGAGCACGGAGGAAAAAAACGGGACAGCATTACATGCCCAATTGAAAGGAAAAAAAAAGGAGGAAAAGGAAGGGACTTCCAAGGACAGTAGGCAGGATAAAGGGAGAAGGGTAGGAGACAAGAACTAAAGAGGAGGGAAAACTCACTGAGGATTTAGCAGATTCTCACTAAGTCTCAGTGTCAACTTAGGAAATACTTACACTGGGACTTTTCTGGACTGAATCTGGCCACAATGGCTGCCAAATACACCAAGGAAAGTCCTAGTGTGAGCATGCCCTTAGTAGCCCATTGCTATTACTACTTACTTGAGTATTCCAGCTGGCAGTCCAAACTTTCCAGTTCCCAGCGACGAAACGAGGACAAATTGGCTAACTTTCAGTTTTGCAGCTGCACACGATGAATACAACGACAAAATTTAATTCGAAAAGAAGTTAAAAAACAAACCGAAAAAGAGAGAGGAAAAATGCTAGCCACTTATGATTCCCTTTCCACGAATACACTTGAGAAAAAAAAGGCCAAAAAGGGGAAAACATTGAGAAAAATGTACCAGACCTAGATCCCGAACCTCACAAAATCATCATCATGCAACACTCCCGATGGCCAATGAAATAAAACCTTAAAAAAAAAAAAATGAAAGGCATAACGAAGTAGTCAAACGGTCAGAGTGTGTGTGTGTGTGTGTGTGTGTGTGTGGTGTGTGGTGTGTGGTCAAATGGCCAGGCATAACAAAGTAGCCAAAAATGGAAAGGCATAACAAAGTAGTCAAAAGTGGAACCATACGGAGAAGATTATCATGGCCCCTGCACAAGGATGACACACATAAATCGAGAAATGGTCCAAATTAAAAAAAAAAAAAAAAAAGCACTGAAGTTGGACACCTGATGGACGGAAGTGGAAAAAACGATATGGATAAGGACAAAAGTAGAATTTGGCAAGTACCCGGTTGGATTTTCCAGCAACTCGGGTAGGCCTACAAAAGTCCGGTAGGTTAAGAAAGGGTTTCCAAAGAAGTCATGATGGTCCAGGATGCTTATTAAGTTCGATATCAGGTAGATACAGACCCTGAAAGCGGATGGCAGACTGCAATGATGTTCCTGCCAAAAGGCAGGAACTTTCAGTAGGCCTAGTGCATCCAGAGAGGCTGAAGTGCCCAACCAGGAAGGGACTTGAGTCCAAGAGTCGTGAGAATGTCGTTTTGTGTCCTGAGTAGGCAACAAATTCCACTCGCAGTCAGAGGGTGAGTTAGGCGGAGCACTGGGTTGAAGCTGTGGAGCTGAGGGTGAGGGAAGAAGACCTCCATGGATATGGAGCAGTAGTAGTAGGGAGTAGGCCTAGGCTATGGAGGTAGAGGGAGAATAACCTCAAGCCAAGGCATGGAAGCGGGTAGAGGAAGAGAGTAGAGGTTGACGCAGAGGAAGAAGGAGGGAACTGGCGTGAGATACTAACCTTTGGCTACGGCAAACGTTCATCTCCACTTCCATGGTTGGCACTGCATCGACAAGGCCCTTGTTCGTGTACCCGTTGGTCTTGGACTTCGTTTGGGAGTGTGCATATGGTGGCATGAGGGAGGACAGGCACATAAATAGTTGTATTGTCCTTTGAACATCCACGGTACATATGGATGTACCGCCATAGCTAGAGATGCAATCAAGAGGAGAAGAGTGTAGAGTGAGGCTGAAAGGAGGTCCCTTTGAGTCCTGGCAGTTAGGGTGTTATGAACTTATGAGGCATCATCCACATTTTCCTCACTCGCACTTGGCAGGTCAAACACAATTTCACACTCGATTTCAAAGTGAAACTTCGATAGAACTTTGAAATCCACAAAGCTCTGTCACTCGCTGGTACAAAAGATGCCAATTATAGTTCAACGCAAGTCTTCGCATGATACAGACTCGAGTCCCTCGACCCATAACAAGGATGCCTCCCATGTTCCCAAGGATCCGATTAGTCGCTCCACGTCAGTGCGCTGATGTGGAAGTCCCTCGTCAACACTACTGCTGTCTTTCACTCACAACATAGCACACACAGATGCACACAACGGCGTGCACGAACACACTTCACACACGCTGCTATGGCCTACACACACTTCTCCTTGCAAGGCAGCTATGGCTGCCTCTTCTTCTTTGTTCGGTAGGTCCTCTTGTTCACCAATGCCCTCCAGCGAACTCACACCAAAATGACAGTTCAACTTCCACACATGACTTTTGCACAAGCGGTTATCGGGTAGCTGAAAATTCAGGAATGGAAATTCTGAAGTGAGAGTTTTGGGCAGTCTGAAAATCCTGAATGGTCCTGAAGTGGTGAAAGGCCCGAAGACCTTGAAAACCACTTTTTTAGGCAGGCTGCATCCTGAAGTGGTGAAGGGTGTCCTGAAGTGGTCAAGTGAGAGTTTTGGGCAGTCTGAAAATCCTGAATGGTCCTGAAGTG